TTTGGGATGCCCCAAGTGAACATTATATCACTAGTCAAGTAATAGACTGCTTAATAAGTTGTGTGCTCAATTGTAGCACGGTAATGTACAGTCCACGACGATCCCGCAGTACCCGGCGGTCCCGCAGTCCCTGGAGTTGGTAGCGTTCCGGGAGCCACTGCCCCGACCCTCGCATGTAGCTGGCAAACCCTTGCTGTGAAGTCGCGAAGATGCAGAGGGCAAAAGAGGATGACCACCTCCGGTGTGGTGAAGAGTAGCAAGAAGAAGACCCAGAAGAGACTTGCCGATCCTGCAGAAGCCAAGCTGCTCGCCGGTTTCATAGACGTCATGAGCAACATGAGAAAGCAGAGGACATTGGTCCCGGAAAGAAGATACCCGCTCACCGTGTTGGCCTTGCTGCAGCCAGTCCCCCTTTTAAACTTAATGTCCACAACTAACACGCTGGAATCTAAGTCCTTTGAAGTAGAACTCAAAGATGATGAGCCCGATACTGAACAACTGGCGGAATTTGCTTATGCTGCTAGCATTTCCAGGAATAGCAACAATGTCCCATCTTTGTTAGAGGCAGCAAATCGGTACCAGATTGAACCCGTGAAGAAAATGTGTGCTGGGTTTTCGAAGGAACAAATCGATGCTTCAGATTGTTTGGTATAAGGGTGCGTGCAGAGTGTCTGGGCTGTCCCGAACTGAAAGTAGCAGCAGGTGACTTTATTAACTAGCATTTTCCCAAAATTTAAAAAACCGATGAATTTCTACAACTTGATGTCAAGCGAGTAACAGCTTCTCAGCCGGGACACGGACTGCTAGAGCGGATGACCAGGCTTACGATGCAACAGTGAGGTGGTTGATGATGCGCCTAATCGCCAGCCATTTATGGTTGATAAATGTCAGACTTCCGCTTATATCTAAGAATTTCCTATGTAAAACAGTACAAGCTGGACTGCTCTTTCAAGACAATCCGGAGGCCGGGCGATTACCCAGCACTCGGGAGGCAGAGGCAGGAAGATCTCTGTGAGTTCGAGACAATCCGGAATGCCTTAAGATGGTACACCTGCTGTCTCCTGAGGATGGAGAACTTGCAGGTGGCACACAGCCTTTTCTTGTAAATTTTGACAACCTGCGCACAGCCCAGTTGTCAAGTTGTTTAGAGGTCATTCCTTTTCTGGTATTGACCTTGTGTCTCATCAAAAGGGCAAAGGATTATCTCTTCACTTGCATAATATTCATACATGACACTTTTAACCAGAGTGTCATAGTGAGGTATGAAGTCGAGTCTTTCTTTTGTTGCTGATTTCTTTTTTTCCCGAGGCAAGGTTTCCCTGTGTAGCTTTGGAACCTGTCCTGGCACTCGCTCTGTAGACCAGGCTGGCCTCGAACTCACAGAGATCCACCTGCCTATGCCTCCCGTGCTCTAGGATTAAAGGTTTGCGCCGCCACCACCTGGCTGTTGCTGTTATTAGTGATTGTCAACTGACTGTAGCAAGTATAGAGTGATTCATCAAAGTTACCACAGGTAATCTTTCCTGCTCGTAGTTGTAATAACGAACTTTTCTTCAGATGAAATGACAATTGTCTGATCCACAGAAGCGCAGAACCCCCGCATAGCCTGCGCTCTCTGAGACCTGTAGTGTGCGCTCCCCGAGCTCAGACAGCTTCCTGTGCCGGTCCAACAAGTACACCATCTTACAGCCCTCGACACCAGCCGGATCGCTGGCGTCGATGCCATCTGGGGGTGGGGGAAGAGAACACCCCACGGCCCTCCCTCGGGTGCGCTTCGCTGCGACTCTGCTTTGAAAACCTTAAATAATTCATTATCTTATTTCTCTGATAGCTACCTATGTTCAAAATGTCCCAGCAGTTCTCTTCTGTTTTAAGAACTTCTGTTTTTTTTTCCTGTGTTCTGAGCAGCCTGCAGCTGCTCTGAGCACGAGACCCTGATGGCAGGGGAGTGGGTTCTGATGAGTTTGCAGCTGAAAGATCCCGAGAGCTGGGCTGTGGCCAGAGCCCTATATAAGCTTCCCCTGAGCACAATAAAGTTGGCATTCTTGTATCAAGGGTGACCCGTGTCCCCGTGTGCGTGTGTTTTTAAGTCCCCAGCTTAGTTCCCGGCTCGTGTACCGTCCCGTAGTGCAGGCTCTACGTTCCATCCTATATCTTGGCATTAAGCCAAGAGTCGTCCTTAAGAACATAAGCCATCCTACTTCCTGGTACAAGGTTTACGTTTTAGAATTAGTACCATGGAGTCCCGTCTGTGTGCCCCCTCTCACTCCAAGACAGGGTTTCTCTGTGTAGCCCTGGCTGTCATCTGCTTCTGCCTCCTGAGTGCTGGGATTAAAGGCGTGCACCACCACCATGTGGCAGGATTAGTCTTTTTTTTTTTTTTGAGATAGGGTTTCTCTGTATAGCTTTGGAGCCTGTCCATTTTGAAGGCCTCAAATCCACAGAGATCCACCTCAGATCTCATTATAGATGACTGTGAGCCACCATGTGGTTGCTGGGAATTGAACTCAGGACCTCTGGAAGAGCAGCCAGTGCTCTTAACCACTGAGCCATCTCTCCAGCCCCAGTATTAGCCTTTTTTTTTTTTTTTTTGGTTTTTCGAGACAGGGATTCTCTGTGGCTTTGGAGCCTGTCCTGGAACTAGCTCTGTAGACCAGGCTGGTCTCGAACTCACAGAGATCTGCCTACCTCTGCCTCCCGAGTGCTGGGATTAAAGGCGTGCGCCACCATCGCCCGGCTCAGGATTAGCCTTTTAAAGTCAGTTTCCTAACCCTTTATCTGATAATATATCCTGTTCTTTAGAACAATGCAAATACCATAATTTTCTTTGAAAACCTTAAATAATTCATTATCTTATTTCTCCGATATCTACCTATGTTCAAAATGTCCCAGCAGTTCTCTTCTGTTTTAAGAACTCCTGTTTTTTTTTTAAAGATTAATACGTGAGTTTGCATATATGCCTGTGCACCACAGGCATGCAGTGCTCATGGAGGCCAGTAGAGGGCGCCAGATCCTCTGGAATTGAACCTAAAAGTTTTGAGCTGTTGTGGGATGCGGGGTGTTGTGAACTGAACCTGGGTAAAAGCAGCCAGTGCTCCTAACCACTGAACCATCTCTCCAGCCTCTCTGGTCATGGTTTTACATAGGATGTTTAACCTTTTTCCTCTGTTTGAGATGTCCTCTCCATACCACCTCATTTACTAGTCTTCAGACTTCAAAATTTAGTTTTAGCACTATCCCATCTCTGTTATTTGGTCCCTCGCTGCTTACCCTCCCTGGGTACCATCTGTCACAAGGGCACCTAGCATCCCTCCCCACTTTGTGAGCCTGATGACCAAAGGCTGTGCTCATCCTGACATCCGTAAGCTAAGCCTGGTGGCTTCCATCTACTCATCCCAGCTACCCGGGGGCTAGAGGTAGGAGGACTGTAAATTCAGGGCACACCTAGGCTATAAACTGAGACACAATCTCCAAACAACAAAACAAACCAAAAAACCAAAGAGACACACATATATCATAGCAGAAATTGAGATATACCCTAAGTTTTACTCTTTCTAGCAGTCAGAAAACTGAAATTCAAAGGCCAGAGTTTCTGCAATAAGAAACAAAGAATCTAAGTTACAGCATTTAAAATGTGTGTGTTGGGGCTGGAGAGATGGCTCAGAGGTTAAGAGCACTGATTGTTCTTCCAGAGGTCCTGAGTTCAATTTCCAGCATCCACATGGTGGCTCACAACCATCTGTAATGAAATCTGGTACCCTCTTCTGGCCTGCAGGCATACATGCAGACAGAACACTGTATACAAAATAAATAAATAAAGCTTTAAAAAAATGTGTGTGTTACTGTTATCACACTAGTGAAGAGCAACTCAGAAACCTCCTCCTCAAACGCACAGTCCTACAACATCCTGGGCATGGCGGCTTACACCTGCAGTCCCAGCACTCAGGGAACTGACAGGGAGGATTGCTGCAAGTCTGAGCCAACCTGGGTTAAAATGTGAGACCCATTCTCAACTCCCGGAAGAAAGGGCTGCGACTGTTTATCAAATCTTAAGAACTCATATAGCCTTGGGTGTAATGACTCAGAACTGAAGTTTTTACTTTCTACGTGTCAATGCTATTCTTATAGGATTTGTTTATTATGTATAGTGTTCTGCCTGCAAGTCTGTCTGAATGCCAGAAGGCGGCACCAGATCTCATCACAGTTGGTTGTGAGCCACCATACGGTTGCTGGGAATTGAACTCAAGGCCTCTGGAAGAGCAGCCAGTGCTGCTGAGCCATCTCTCCTGTCCCCAATGCTATCCTTATGAATACAGCTCAGACTGACAAGGGTCCCCCTTGGGAGTTGGTGAAATGAGAAAAAAAAAATTAAATTCACTTTGAATATAAACTGTTAAATCTTGGTGCCAGCAGGACGGCTCAATGGGTAAAGGTGCTAGCTGTGCAAACCTGGGAGTCTGAGTGTGATACCTGGAAACCATGGAAACGTGGAAGCAGAGAAGTGACTCCACAGAGGTGTCCTCTGACCAGTGTCCCGGGCTACATGTGCACTCCCACACGCATCATGGACACACATATAATAAAAGTATGGAGTGTAGTCTTATATGGTTTTTTTTTTTTTTTATGGTTTTTCGAGACAGGGTTTCTCTGTAGCTTTGGAGCCTGTCCTGGAACTAGCTCTTGTAGACCAGGCTGGCCTCGAACTCAGAGATCTGCCTGCCTCTGCCGCCCTAGTGCTGGAATTAAAGGTGTGCACTACCAAACCTGGCACCTTATGTATTCTTATCAAAAGATTTTCTTCTTTCAAAATGAAAGTACTAGAATCAGTCTAAGATTTCTGTGAACAAAAAGCAAAGCAGAACAAACAAACAAAACATATGTTCTAGGACAGAAAGCTCATAAAAAGATGCGGCATACTTGGGCAGACAGTGTAACCGGAATGTATGTTCAATGCAGAGAATCTGAAACATAACATCAACCTTTATGGACACTGTAAGATCTTAGTTTCATTTACTTTACTATTTCATTCATGTCACAAGAGAAACTGGACGGCTAGTGACGGAAGTCAGAGAGGAGACATAAAGACAGAAATCCCTTTGGCTCCTTCTTCCCTAGGTGGAAGACGCCTTGAGTTCTTCTGGAGTTTTACTTGGGTTAGCAGTTTCTGAACTGAGTGGACTTTCTAGGAAGGCGGTCCCCGCACAGGGCTTTCCTGTGATTGGGTCGATAACTCGGCCAACTTTGAAAACGATCTCAGCCAGTTCATGTTTCACGTGCTTTGACCTCGCGACCGGCAGGGCTCTGAGGAGCACGATGTCCCCGACCGAGCACTGCTGATGGGCGTCGTGAGCAAAGTAGGTTTTCCGCTTGTTGAAGTACTGTTGAGAGAAGGAGGGGAACAAATCAGCAGCGCCCATCTGCGACCCAGTGGGGCAAAGACATACTGTACAGAAAACCAGCCAGGGCTTGGCACTGGGAGAAGAAATACTTTTGGAAGCTTTTAGTACAAAGGGATTAGCAGCTTCATCTTTGAAAACCAGCACTGATTTTCCCAGAGACAGTTCTGAGCTATGGAAGTCATTCCTTTAACTATCCTGGCTCTAAATCAATGGTTACCCGTCTCTATGTTGACCCTCCTGCCGAGGCCTCCACTCCAGCCTACAAACACACAGCTCTCTCCACTAGCTGTGCGCCATGGAACCACTCCCGGCTCAGTTTCTTCCCACCACAAAAAGCGGATCTAAAGTTATTAAGACAATTAAACATTATAGTAAGACTGTGGTGGTGGCACACACCTTTAATCCCAGCACTCAGGAGGCAGAGGCAGGCGATCTCTTGTGAGTTTGAGGCCAGCCTGATCTACAGAGCTAGTTCCAGGACAGCCAGGGCTACGCAGAGTAACCCTGTCTCGAAAGGTGTCTCCCCCTACCACAAACTATTCATCATAGTTGGAGTGACTTCTCGTCACCTGGTCCAGGAAGAGAATTTGACTGGAGGGTCAGTGCAAATGTCTCTTTACTGAGATGTTCTCTTACAGCAATCTGAGAGGAAAGAATGAAGAGCCCTGCTCTCTGTTCCCACATTGCTTTCCCACATGACTAAAGAGTGAACTTAAATGAATGGCGTGTTCCTGAAACCTTCCTAAGATACAGGCTATACCCACAGCCCAGCAGTGTCAAGACGGCTGCAGAGGTTCAACTTATCTGATACCAATCTGGAGACACTTTTCTGCTTTGGCCCTAAACCACATTACTAACTTACCAATGCCACCTAAACCAGGTGCTGATCCTTACCTTTAGCAAGTAGGGATCCAAAACAAGTCTGGTGGCTCTGACTTTAGCAGTTTTTACCATGGCTGTGCCAATCACCTTTCCCACGACCCATTTGGCATGGACGGATGTACGCATTAGTGACATTATGTGTCTCTGAGCACCTAACATGAAAAAAAAAAAAAAACCAAAACACCAAAGCTTAACATTGTCAGGACAGTCTTCCTCCCTATTCATCTAACAAACCAATTGCTCTGCCTCTTCTCCCTGATGTCTACCTTTTCTGCTGTAGCCCAGGATGACCTTGAACTGGAAGATCCTTCTATATTAGCCTCCCCTGAGTTGGGCTGGAGAGATGACCAAGTAGCTAAGCATTGGCTGCTCTTCCAGAGGACCTGGATTCAGTTCCCAGCACTCACATGGTGGCTGAAATCCTTTGTAGGACCAGTTCCTGGGGATCCTCTGAAATTACACAAAGGCTAGTGCTCCAACACATCATCTAAACTTTGAACATTCTGATGGTCAGCCCTTACCGAGTGAAGTTTTTGTTTGTTTGTTTTCAGATAGGCTTTCTCTGTAGCTCTGGTGGTCCTGGAACTCGCTCTGTAGCCCAGGCTGGCCTGGAACTCACAGAGATCCGCCTGCTTCTGCCTCGTGAGTGCTGGGATTAAAGGCATGCACCACCACTGCCTGGCTAATCAGGCGACTTTTGCCAGGAGCAATGCCTATGTCCAGAAATCATTTTTTTGCTAGCTTTCTGGAATAGCCAGGTAAGAGACGCGTTCAAGCCTTATTTTTAACGCGTTTACAAGGCAGTGAATGGATCTCACTAACTCAGATTCCCCATTCGGAAGGAAAGGAACAAGACGGCTTGCTCACAGATATTCTGAAGAACTATCAGAGTGTGAAATTACTCACATAAACTGGTCACAATGGAGTCCCTCTCTCCAAATGAGGCAGGAGGCAGAGGGTAAATAGGTAGTTTAGGGAACAGCCCCAGTGAGTCTCCAGGCCAATCACCTGGGAAACTCCCCTGCTGCAGGTCACAGATTCTCTACAGATCAAAGCTCCTTTCCTTACAGGTGCCTCACAGATCATCAGAAGACAAGTCACACCTTATTTACCCTTTACCCACGACTTTCTTCTTCTTCTTTTCTGCATCCATTTTACATACATCTTATCCTTTCCACTTGAATGGAGTCCTTTCTTGGGACCGGTCCCTTCTCAGGGCATTTCTCTTTCTAAAAAACGATACTGTTTGAAGCGCTCAACTCCCGAGTCTGCGGGGTTTGTTCCTTATCGTTAAAGGGGTATGATCTCGAGGTCACAGCACCCATTGCGGCTCGCTGCCTGCCTTTATTACAGCCATACAGCCTGCTACCCATACACACAAGGGCTCACAGGCCGGCTGTGCTGCAAGACCTCGGCCGGGCACTGCAGGGACCGGGAGACTTTGACTCGGAGCTTTTGGGAATCAGTTGCTATGGAAACCACCGCGTCCCGGGGAGACTGACAGGAGCCGTAGCACTACTAACCTCCCCGAAATCCGGACCTGGAACCCTCTCTCACCTTCTGGATTCTACTATTCGGACCCAGGCGGGCGAAGCATGGGGCGCAGCGTGATGGCGTCACACGCGCGCTAGCCCCGCCCCGACTGCCCTTTTCACAAGGCGCCGAGCCTATTAGCTTTGGGCGGGGCTAAAGGCAAGACCCCGCCCAGTCTATTTAAATTAGCACCGCGGGCGGAAGTCTTCCGGTTTGGGAGGGTCGTGCCTCTACGTTCCCTACGGCACTGCGACGGGTGCGCAAGAGGTTCCTGCCTTTTCCTATGCCATTTTGTTTTCTGCTCTTCTGATCTTCCCGCAATTGATTGGACATACCGTCAAATCAAAGGACCTTGCATTCGTCAGCCATAGAATCTTAACTTTTTTTTTTTTCAGTCTCACATTCCACACCTGACTAGGCTTTGCCTTTCCAGTGTTGGAATTACAGGCGTGACCTACAATAATTTCTTCTTTCTTCTTCTCCTCCTCTTTCTCCTCCTCCTCTTCCTCCTCCTCTTCTTCTTCCTCCTCCTCTTCCTCCTCCTCCTCCTCTCCTTTTTTAAAAAAAAAATCAAGACAGGGTTTTTTCTGTATAGCCCTGGCTATCTTAGAATTCACTTTGTAGACCAGGCTGGCTTTGAACACAAGAGATTCTCTAGCCTCTGCCTCCCAAGTGCTGGAATTAAAGACGTGTGCCACCACTTCCTGGTCCAAAATAATTTCTTATGTTCTATTACACAGTGTAATATTTGCATACATCAAAGTAGTGGATACAGGGGATACTTGAACGTTTTTAAGGCAAAGAGGTGGTAAACGGATGGATATGCAGTTACCCTGTACTGTATGTGGGCACTGCAATGTCACACTGTATCTCATAAATATGTATAACATGTGTGTCAAGATTTTTAAGTTAATATTAGAAGTGGGCAGGTTGGCACATGGCTGTAATCTCAGCATCCAAAGGCTCATGCGAACTGTAGTGAATCTGGGGCCAGTCTGAGTTACCTAGTGACAGCTGGCCTCAGATACACACAAACACATAGACATGCATACATACATAGGGCTGAGGATGCAGTTCAGCTGGCAAAGTATTTACCTATCCTGCTCAAAGTCCTGCCATAGATCCCAGCACTACATAAACTTCGTGTACCATTGCATACAATCTCACATTCAGAAAGCAAAGCCAGGAGGATCAGGAGTTCAAGATCATCCTTGGCTACTTGGTAAGTTGGAGAGACCAGCCTAGGCTGCCAGACTCTTTCTACAACAAACAAACAAACAAATCTGGAAGAGGAAAGGGAGTCTGGTGTGAGAATATGCATTTTGTGCCCTTTCTAAAGGAGTCAGAGGATTTCTTGCAGGTTTCCCGATAAAGCTTTCTCAAAAGGAAGACTAGGGATATATCAGGCAAATTGTGAAGAGGAACAGGCTATTGGAAAAGCCTATTTGAGGGTCAAATATGGACAATCTTGACTACTGAATTAGTTTAACAATTGGTGTTGGAAGACTTGAAAAATAAAAATTCATCCAAAGCATAGATCTAGAAACGTGGCTAAATGGCTGAGGGCTTTTCTAGCCTGCACCGTGTCCTGGAAACAATCCCTGGCATTACAGTAATAGCAATAAAACAAGGCACCAATCTGTCCTTAGCAAACATTTATGGAGCACATATTCTCAGAATCTGTGCTAGGCGTTGTAAGGAAAAGATGAATAAAAGGGGAGCCTCTCCCATCAGAGGACCACAGTCTAATAGAGGCAGATGGAAAAGAAGCAAGTATATTATAGATAGTAGAAGAGTGTACAAACAGAAAACGTTCCCTGGCACACACATAGCCCAAACGACTCACTGGAGGTTGTTGTTTTGTTCTGGTCAGACCTGAACTGGAGTTGCCCTCAAAAGGGTGATGTGGTCGTTTGAATGTAATTGGCCCCTATAAGCTCATAGAGAGTGTCACTATTAGGAGGCGTGGCCTTGATGGAGTAGGTGTGGCCTTGTTGGAGGAAGTGTGTCACTGTAGGGGTGGGCTTTGAGGTCTCCTATGCTCAAGTTACACCCAGTGTGGACACAGACTTTTTCTGCTGCCTGGGGATCAAGATGTAGAACTCCCTGTTCCTTCTCCAGCACCATGTCTCCCTATACACCACCATGCTTCTCACCATGGATGATAATGAACTAAATCTCTGAAACTATAAGCCACCCTAATTAAATCTTTTCCTTTACAAGTCTTGTTGTGGTCACCGTGTCTCTTCACAGCAATGGAAACCCTAAGACATGTGGTAAGGCAGTTTCCACAAGAGGCATCCCAAACTGACCTGCAATGGCTCTGGTTGGGACTACAAAGAAAGAAGCATTAAATCCTGGGTCAAATTAGTACAAAGTTCTTATGCGAACTTGCACCCCACCAGTGTCAAGGATATGAGAAGAGAGGGCTGTTCTGTCTAGTTCTGTCCAGTTAAGTGTGTGTGTGTGTATATGTGTGTGTGCGTGCACATGCGTTTGTATCTCCAATAAGGAATTTGAGCTCAGATTGAGAGTCACTTTTTTAGCTGGTTTTGGACAATAGTCTAACACTTCTGTTGGTGCTCATGGCCTTGGCTTGGATTCAAGGTTACCAGGGAAATATTGTTGCTAGCTCAGTTAGTCCTCAAGGCACACTATGATTTCCTTTGTGTCAGCACAGAGAAGACAGTAGCAGGGCCTGGAGGATGCTATGGAGGGACATCGGGAGCAGAAAGGGGATTGCGTAGAGGAGCAAAGGAGTGTAAAATGGTGACCAAAAATCTGGCACTTGGCCAGAACCAAAGCTAAGAGACTCCATCTCTTCTCAGATGGCATTTCTTGTTAAGGATCTGACATTGTTCTCTCCATGATGGGGAGTCTTTGAACATATGAACACTTTTTCAGGTAGTGTGTATGTGTTTATGTCTATTTGTGTTTCTGAGGCAAGGTTTAACTATGTATCCTAAGCTGCCCTCAAAGTCACAGCAATCTTACTGTCTCCACCTCCTGAATGCCTGCCTGGCTTACAGCTAGGAGCCACCATGCCCTGCTGAATATTGTAAATTTTAAAATGTATTCTTTTATTTAATTTATTTTTAGCTTATGTGCATTGGTGTTTAGCCTACATATCTGTCTGTGTGAAGGTGTCAGAATCCTTGGAAATGGAGATATAGACAGTTTTGAGCTGCCATGTGGGTGCTGAGGATTGAAGCTGGGTCCTCTGGAAGAGCAGTCAGTGCTCTTAACTGCTGAGCCATCTCTCCAGACCCTAAAAATGCCTGTTTGTTGTTATTTTTTGTTTTATTGGTTTTGGTTTTTCAAGATAGGGTTTCTTAGTTGGGCGATGGTGGCGCTCGCCTTTAATCCCAGCACTCGGGAGGCAGAGGCAGGCGGATCTCTGTGAGTTCGAGACCAGCCTGGTCTACAAGAGCTAGTTCCAGGACAGGCTCCAAAGCCACAGAGAAACCCTGTCTCGAAAAAAACAAAACAAAACAAAAAAAAAAGAAAAGAAAAAAAAGACAGGGTTTCTCTGTGTAGCTTTGGCTGTCCTAGAACTCACTCTGTAGACCAGGCTGGCCTCAAATTCACAGAGATCAGAGATCCACCTGCCACTTCCTCCTAAGTGCTGGAATTAAAGACATGTGGCACCATGTCGGACTTAAAATGTATTTTTATTTTGCAAGAAAGCAGAACAAATTTTAATTAGTATAGCAAACTATTAAGTTCCACAGATAATATTTATCAGGCCAGGTTAAAAAGCCTATGTCCTTCAAAAAAGTATTAAGGCTAAGTATAGAAAAAACTGTAAATAAAGCACAAAATTTGAGAAATATTACCCTTCCTGTTTATTCTATTTTATGTAACTGGTTATATT